GGTAACTTTGTTGCGTTTGCAGAATTTTTAAGTAACGTGTGGACATTTTTTCCGTATCACGGATTCGTTGATAAGCAACTTTATATGCTAATTTAGCGAAGAGTTATGTCACCGTTTCCTTATGCATTACCCGATATATTTTATTTCATCTTGTCGTTTTAAGTGATTGGCTGTTGCTTGATATCCCCGGTGTGGCTGCGCATGACGTGCATGTTTACAAGGTGCCTACCTGTCTATTACCCACTACCTCGTCCATACTGGCTCCAGGAGAGAGCTGGTCGTTGCTGGAGGGGACGGGCTGCACGGTCCTTGTGGCCGTGCTAGGCTCAAAGAGCGGTTCCATGCACTCAGTGTGGAGCGGACTACGGTCCAGCCACCGCCTTGTGTGACGTTGATCCCCCAAAGGAGGGTGCACCGGCTCCGTGGATGAAACGTGGCTCCCATCCACATGTCTCCCGGTCTTATTCTTTCGGGTTTACACTGGATATGGGGTGTGTGGTTGGAGCTGTGGGTGGTGCTGAGCAAGCCATCCATGGTCCCTCTGTAGGCGCAGGCGTCCTGTGATTGTCTTATGGGTGTCACATTGACATGCAAAACCGGAATCTGACGTCGTCAACCATAGCTGTGGCACAGATATTGTGCCATCGGATAATTCGCGGAGTGGGTTAACAGAATCAGAATAACCAGCATTTCGTGAGATAGACTAAATTCAGTTTATTTCGTGCATTCTCAATCAGTCGCTTACCAACAGTGGGAGGATTTGGTGAGTGCATGTTATATGAAATCAACAAGGCAACTAATTTGAACCTGGGGTGATCGGGGTTATCGCTTCCAGTGGCTAATCCTATGCTCTACCATGGCAAAGATAAGGTGGACACGAGGTCAACTTGCTTGCACAGGTTGGGCTTCTGCCGCCGGATTGCGGAAACCTCGGCAAACCGGAGGAGTATTGGGCTGTTCTGCCTACTGACGACTTTGAAGGAGTTACGGGGGTCTTCAGATGCATCGCAATCGAGAGGTGTCGAGCAACAGAGTTGGCAGGTAGCTTAGGGCCGCTCATCGCTAAGCCTAGCGGAACATGTTCCGTAATCCTTGTAGATAACATACTCTCACTCCGACCAATGCACATGCTACCGCACATACAGTTAAACAGGTAAACGCAGGAGGCGGTGACTTGAGGGAGAGGTTTATCTAGGTTGGATTGGTGCGACAACTTTCTGGTTCGGTGTAGTAACACTTGCTCAGCTGCGTAATAACACCACTTTATGGATTGCCGTAGCCGGTGACAGAACCTCTTATCAGTTTGTTTCTCTTTGAAACGAAGGGTGATGGATACCTTCCTCTTCTTCTTGGGAACATTAGGTTACTTCATTTTTTGGGGGGGGGTTCCTCCCCATATCTTGCTATAAATTTACTAGGGTACCCATTACCGCGTAGTGTGGATAAAATGCGCTGCACTTCACGCGTGATGAAGTTTTCGGAACAGATTCGGCGCACTCTCGTGAAGCAGGTACGAACCAAAGATCGCTTATAGTTCATCGGGTAGTAACTGTCAAAGTTTAGATACTGTCCTGTCCAGCTGGGTTTGTGATAAATCGACCGTATTAGTGATCCATCTGGTCTTCACTTTAAGAAAACATTTCCCCCCCCCCACTCTCCATGGTGAAACTGATCTCTGGATAACATCGGTTTAATTCTTCCAACACGCTTACTGCTTTCCGCGCAGTATCCAAAACCACAAAAGTGTCAGCTACATACCGGGCATAGAACTGCGCCTTTCCTATGGTTCGTCGTAGTTGGTTATTTTCTAAATGGCCCATGAAGATATCAGCTAGAACAGGTCCAAGCTGGCTGCCTATCGCTACGCCTTCGATTTGCTGGTTACCATTACAGCTAAATTGAACATCCCTGGTGCATATGAGGAGTAGAGCTTTTAAACGGTGTGCTGAAAAACCCACCTTACTCGCATGCGTACCTATGATATTCGACGTCTCCTCCAGAGGGACAGTTGTGAACAGTGAACGATAGGTTTGTAATAATCAAACGCAGTAAAGTGACAGCTGCTCACCAAGTACTCAGCAAGGTAATGGAGGGCATTCAGTGTACAATGAGTTAGAGAGAGAAAACAAGCTCTCATTCTTGGACGCATTGGGGACCAAAACATTGAACGGTGAACTCCGAACATCCGTTTACAGGAAAGGCACACACAGATCAAATTTTGAACTACAACAGCAACCACCCAAAGTGCCACAAAATAAGCTGCGTACAAATGCTAGTTCGCAGAATTGAAACACACTACAGTACAGCGGAAGCAAAACGAGAAGAGAAACACCTCTACGATTCACTTGAGCGCAACGAATACTCACGCAGCTTCATCCACAGATGTTTAAGGCACAAGCCCACAAACAACGAACCGATGCCAAAGGTAAGCAAACGGATCGTTTTGCCGTGCATGAAGAACATATCTGAAATGATGGCTCGATTGCTAAAACAACACCATGACATGGTGGCCCACAAACCAACCGCTACTGTCAAATCCAAAGGAGAAACAGGAAGGACATGATGGAACAAATGTCGTGTAGGAAATAAATTGCAATAACTATGAAAATAACTATGTAGGGCAGACAGGAAGGAAATTAGCGAGCAGGATCCAAGAACATCAAAGGGCCTGCAGGATGCATTAGGTATCATCACTGGTCTCAGCGCATGTGGATGAGGAGGGACATAGCTTCGACTGGAACAGAACGGAGATTCCTGCCCAAGTGGAGACACAAAAAAGAAGGGAGTTCCTTGAAACTTGGTTCTCCTCTAATAATTTTATCAACACCCGTAATGACATCGACCCTATATACAAACAATTCAGAAAGAAATATCTCTGACGATTTGAAAAGCAGAGCCCGAAACGTGATGCACAGCGAATAACTCGAGCGACAGTTTTGGTCGCGGGGAAAGTGGGCAAATAACAAGGGACGCAAATCGAAGACGCGTGCCAATCGATCACGAATGCAGAATTCAATCAGTGAGATTGCCCATCGCATATCACCGCACTGACGATGCCACCTCGCATGGTGGCGAAACGTATGCGACTATTTAAGCAAGCTCGGCGAACCAATCAACAGTCGAACAACTAACCCTGGCTACCAGTGTTTCAAATTATTTCTAACAATGTACATACGTCGAAAGATACCATGCAACATTCACATTTAGGTTCCGAATTTGGTCAACGAATTCCAACGTGTCTTTCAAACTATGCACAACCAACTCAGATCTGATAGGCACAATAACTTTGGCCAACCATCGTGCTTACTCCCGGTGCGGCGCACCAACCATTGAGATAATTGGGCGCAATGGGACCCCTTCTTTATGAACCTTCGGTAACCCGTACATGCGCGGGAGTTTCGAGCTAAGAGGGCGGAGTTGCTGCATGGGTTTTGTGTCAATTAGCCCTCTTTGTGTAGTGTTCGCAGTTCACAAACTGTGGATTTTTCGACTTTTCAGTTCTATCGCGCCCTGCTAGATCTCGGACGAAGTTAGCCTCATTTGAAAGTAAAGTTTGCATTTTTAGAACGTAGTTCTGTTTACTCATTAGGAAGACGCCAGAACCTCTGTCAGGTCTTAGTATTACTACGTCCTTGTTTTGACGTAACTCCTTTGTAAGAATTGTGCAGTTTTCAGCCTGCGCAACGTAGAATTGATTCGCCAAGCCTACTATCTTGGTCTTAAACCAACTGCTTGCTCCTTTGCTTGACGGGACCAAGCAAAAGAGTTGTTGGTGAAAATACTCAAACAGACCCACGATCCCTATTCGATCACATTTATCAGGTGATACAGCAAAGCTACATGCTAGCGACAACGCTTCCAGTTGCAGACGACTGATTGGGATGTTGGACAAGTTTACTATGTAATTTTAAGGATTAGATGGCATTTGGTCAGTCAGGTACTCGGAGAAGAGATTAAAATTTGCCGTTTGGTAACCATCCTCATTGTAACTCCTGTAGGAATTTGTAAAATGTCACTCGACATACGAGATTTGGTGTACTCATGAGTGCTTCTATGCATCCTTTCCTGGCTTTCAGCTGGGTAATATGATGAACAGTAGCTTCAATCTGTGACTTTGTATATCATCGTAGATTTCCCGAATTCACAAGCAACTTGGCATCACACAGCGATTTAAGGAACCGATGCGGGAAAATGCACGTACGCATGCACCCACCGTAGACATCCATGTGAGCGGCTTCTCGCGATTTGGAACAACGCAATGCCACTAAATTATCCAGTGACCGAAAAATATCAGGTGGGAGGCGTTCCTATGAAAATTTCATGCGAATGATTGAGAATACACGAAATAAATTGAATTCAGTCTAGCTCGCGAAATGCTGGTTGTTCTTCCTATGTTGAAATTTCCCAAGGGAAGCGGTTGCATGAAAGAATTAAAATAAGAAAGCGAATTTTTGTCCCGTTTCCCATTCAAAGTATTTGAGATTTTGGCAACTATTTGCTTGCTTAAAGCATCAGATAATAGGGTGTGCTTTAGTGGGTACATCGCGACCTGTATATTGCAGAATAAGGGATTTTTGTTAGAATGTATTACTTAGTGTCGATTGTTAATCATCGGTCATAAAATATCGAGAAAAGCAATAGGGAATAGACCCATTTAGGATAAGCTGTTTGTCGGCCCATAGCCTTAAGGATAACAAGTCTGCCTTATAGTCCAAAGGCGTGGGTTCGAGCCTGCGTAGGGACCGGGCGACCCACGCAGTATCCTTAGACCACGTGCGACTGGTACTAGTCGCGGGGCAGCGAAGTTTTTGTATCGCGTACCGGCGTAGTGCTAATGCCATCCGGAAGTGACAACTAGCGACCACCGACTGGTGCGCATCTTAGCAGTAAGGTAGAGAAAAGCCAGCAGACGTCTGGGGCATATAAATGATGAAGACCGATGGGCATTTGAGCATAACAATCGGTTGTTCAGAACTGCAACAGGGGTTCATGACACTTACTGGCTTCTCTTTCTCTGCCTTTTTTCGTAATTGAGCCATGCGTTTGCGTCGCTCGGCCACTCTAGCACGCTCCTCGCGCACGATTTCCGACTCGGAGACAGAAAGTTCCATTAGATTGTTGAAAGTGCAAACTTGATCCGGAATATTTACAGTCAAACCAGGGTTAAGAATGAGATCGCCGTCACTATTATGGGAATTGAGGGAGTTGCAGGCCTGTTCGACAAGTCGAGCGGCATCCTCCCTGGCCTGTTTTGTGGGACCCTGTTGGGTTGAGGCAGATGGGATCGGTGATGAGATGACAGGAAAAAAACACTTTCAAACATAAGATATTGCATAAGAGGTACAACAATAAAATGGTGCCTTCGATTTGCAACACAAGCAGAGAGCAGTTACAGGAATAAAAAATCGCATTAATCAAGGTTAAGGATAGATTAAATTAACATTGGAAAATAAAAGCTTCACCTTTTCATTTGTCACATAGAAAGAAGAGAAAGATTCAATAAATATTGGAGTAATACAAACTGTCACTACAATCAGAAACGACGTCGGACTGGGAGTCCCGTAGAGTTGAGCAGGAGCATTAGGGGATAAAAATGATCAAGGGGATGAAAGTTTGTTACCAGAAACAGTCGAGCGTCGTTCCAAATCAATATAAATACAATGTCACGTACAGAATGGGTGAGTGAAATGATGGAGCAGAAAGAAGTACAGCTTACTCAGCTGCAGATACATCGACTTGAAACGGATCCAAGTTGCTTGATTACGCCCTAAGTAGACCTGTCGGTCGTACACCTCAGAGCATGTTCTTCCAACAATGACCTCAGCTAAGTAAGGCCAAAAAAGGAACACACTGGGAAAAAGATTGACCGAAATCTGGTGGGTCTAGTTTGAATCCCTTTTGTGATGGTGACTGGCAATGCGGTGTACCGTCAGAAAGTCACACTTTCGCTTACGAGTTATTGTCACTTGTCGTCAGAAATTTGCTCAACAAATCTATCTTTCGTCCGCTATTCTTCTTACCAACAGATTTCGTTTGTTAATTTGTTCGCGTTCTGTTGGCAGCGCATATCATGGCAATGAGATTCGCCATACTTTGGTGATATGAATAACAGGGATCACCGGCATGAATCTGCTTAGGTGAGGGTGACCTGGTAGTATCCCTGGTCCCAACGCGACCGATAAAGGACAGTAGCGATTCATTGGTTTTGGACGTGGCTCATCAAAACAAGATGGTATGATGAACTGAACAGGTGCCTTTGGACTAACGGCTGTCGGCCAGAAAGAATCAAGGCTAATCGCCTTGGTGACATTAACCTCAAGCATCTCACATGCATTATCATATGGAAGCTCACCAGTGATAGTAAAGGAAAGATGAATGGATCCAGACTGTAGTAAACAACTGCATAGGTTGATTTGGGTGTTGCTCCTCTCAAAAATGGCACCCCATGACCGCAGTTTCGTCCTGGTTTGGACTCGTCAAGTGGAGATAGCCTGAGTTGGGGTGGAACTCAGAGCCTTGCGGTTCATGGCTGACGCCATAAACACTATGCCACTGAGATCCGGGAGCAACGCTTGGTACAGCAGAAACGAATTCAAACTTGGATTTAGAGAATCCGCTGTGTGGTGGGACTGCAACACGCAACTTTTATTAAGACCTCGGTTCACTTGAGGTGGACGTCGGTCATTTTGTTCGCAAGGAGCGAATGTGAAATATTGTAGTGTTGTTCATTCCAACACGGGCACCCCACGACCGCGGTTTCGTTCTGCTTTGGACTCATCAAGCTATCTCCACCTGTAGTCCGCAAAGTGAGCGTCAAGAAATCTCTTAACTTTCAACACCGATCGTATCGACTAACGTATCCGGCAACTTTTTCAACGTGGAAATAGCCTGGTGAGTCCAAACCAGGACGAAACCGCGGTCGTGGGGTGCCGGTGTTGGGATGAGCAACATCAAATTATTTCCATTTCACATACGATCCTTGTGATCGGAATGACCGAGGTCCACCTCAAGTGAACTGAGGTCTCAAGAGTGGTTGAGTGTCGCAGCCCCAGCATACAGAGGGTTCTCCAAGTCCAAAGTTGGACTACATAGGTTACATGCATTGACTGCATCTTTAAGCTTCTGTAAGCCTGAAGGTTTATTTTGTACAGTTGGTTGTGCCTGTTGGTGAGGCTTATGCTTTAAGGGCATACTGGAGAAGTTTCTTTCTGCTACTGAATCACTTCAGCTACCGGGTAAGAGTTCATGTCATACTTTCCATGGAAATTACCATAACAACGGGATGGTCATTTATTCTCTCCCCATTTGCTCTCCTAATGACCATGAAGGAATGTCGCCCAGTCTGCCGCCTCTGGAATTTAAATGTTTCCAGATGGCCTACTGATGAACTCAGAACAGGTGGGCGACGTACAAAGCTTGAAATTGAGCTCGGTTTCTTGCAAGTGTTGTAAAATCGGTTAACCAAGAGGACTGCACGCTTTGGTATGTGTGTCAAATTCACAGTGTGAAACCTCGCTACCGAACTGGGTGACACGGTCAGTTCACATGGCAAGTGAACAGCCGTTGGAAGTGATCGGTAAATCCATTTTCCGGTATCATTTTAACTGTTGTTAGCCAAAGTACCAGGGCTTGCATATAAACCGGAAAAACGTCCATGGTGCAGCAAAGTAGCAACTTAGTGGGCGAGAAAAGAGTGGCTAACACCTCAGTGAGAGGAGTATGGATCAGAAACATCGTCGCGTCTTGTGAACAATGTAAAAAGACCAACGATATGCAAGCCAGTACGTCGTATTGATGCCGCAATGTAACTGATACTGCACTGTCAGTGTTGGAAGGAGCAACACCGAAACACTTCCACTTCAGATACGGTCCTTGTGATCGAAATGACCGAGGTCTACCTCAAAGTGAACCGAGGTCTCAATAGAGATGGAGTGTCACAACTCACGGAGGGGTAAGCATTAGTTCGTCCAGGAAGAGGCTGTATAGACCACATAATCACTCGGCGGCAGGTGCTAAAACAGCGCCACGCATACCGTAGACCGATAATAGTTACGTTCTTAGACTTCAGAGTGTATTCGATTCAGACGATTAACGCAATCTGTTCGAAATACTTGCGCGGAAATGTGTTCACATGAAATACGTAAGCATGTTACGTACTATGCACTCGAACAGCCAGCGCGCGTCAGGGTCTACGGCGACGTATCGGATGCCATTCTGACATGTGACGCTCATCAGGATTGTCAAATTTTCCAATTTTTGTACAACTTCGTCGTGGACTCACTCATGAAGCGCTCCCTTGCGGAGCTTCACGATGCAAGCGTTAAGGTGCTACCAGACAGAAAGCTAGTCTTGATTATGCGGACGATAGTGTCTTGCTTTTTAACGATGTTGGGCCGCCACAATCAAACCTGAATGATCTCTCAAGGTGGTTCCAACATTTGATATGAGCTTCACACTTTCCAAGTGCAGTGTTGTTACAGGACCACCAGCAACTTGATGACCCTGTGACTCTTGATATCGAGGAACTCGAGGTACTTGATCCCTTTAACTCCCCCGGCAACCGCATCAGCAACGACAGGCGCATTAACCACGGAAGACAATACGCGCACTACAGAAGCTAGAACTGTCTTTCCGGATCTGCGATATCAGTGGCGTCAGAAAGCGGTTTCTCTCGGTCTGAATAGCTGTGTTTACAAAGTCACAGTGAAGGCTGTCCCACTCGATGCGAGTGAGACTTGGCTCCTTCGATTTGAAGAGCTAACGTACCTTCAAGTCCTTGAGCGTCGTTGTCTGCGAAGCACTGCTGGTGTCGGATGGCACCAGCACGTCCACAATGATCATGTGCATAAGTGAGTGCTACAGTCATCATCATTATGCACGTTAGCTAGAGGTGGAAAACGCCTCAGCTACTGTGCCGCAATACATAAAAAAGCCTACTAGAGGTACATGCCAGCTGAGATACCAGTAACGGATGGGCATCGTTCCGGAAAGCTACCAGCCGGCTAATAGGCAGCAAAAAATTTATTACGCTAAATTCATATTAAGTTAAATGCGATCGCAGTTGGAGGGGGGCTAAGAAAGATGGCGAGGGACAAAAATTCACAACACGAACGCCACTGAGGTCAGCTCCTAGCCATATCAACAAGTGCATCCAGTCAAGCGCGTTCATCGTCTTTCGGACCACAGCCAGCGAGGCGAGAGACTCCAATCGAGGCCAACTTCGAAGTAAGGGCCTTCATTCCTCTCAACCAAGTCATCGCCGGGCCACCTCTCCTCTCCTTCCATCCACACGCCAGCGCACAAACAACGCACGTCGCGGGAGCCAGAGTGCTGGCATGAGCAATACGTGACCCAGCCACCGAAGTCTGTTGCGTGAAATAACGGTGCTGAGCGATTAACATCCTCTTCCTGTACCATAAAGAAGGCATTGAACACGCTCATTGCTCATACGGTATGCTCACCAGATGTGAGTCAAACCGCAAATGCACCAGCTGTCGAACGTAACTAGCCACTTCATGTATACCAATCTAATGGGTCAGGTTTCACAATCGTACAGAAGCGTCGTAGGTACGGCTGCATTGTAAACTTTACTCTTCAGGGCGGGAAGGATATCGCGCCGACGCCATAGGTGGCGAAGGTTAGCAAAAGCGCTTGAGCTTTTGATATACGTTTGGTGATCACGTCTTCGATCCCGAGGGCATTGACACAACCACCCAGATAGTTGAATATTTGAACAACTTCTAGCCAATCCACACCAAGGGTCAGCAGAGGAGGCTGTCTCTGCCTATCTTGGAGGAAAGCTTTGCATCTCGATGATGCAAAGTAAAGCCCAAATTGATTGATAATAAGTGCTGAGCTGTTTAGTGCCGAATGACACATCTGTGAGCTATCGCAGATAAAGGCAATATCCTCAACATACTCCAAGTCAAGAGGTCACTCATCTGGGAGCAGCTCGACACCATTTAAGTTGCATTCTGTGAACGCGATCTCCAAGAATTCGTCAATAGCGAAGTTGAAGTGGAAAGGTGACAGCGGATATCCTTGTCTCACAACAATGGACATATTGAAAGACGGCGACACCTTGCCGTAAGCCCTCACTCTGTCCGAGTTACGCGTGCATAACGCTAGGATAATAGTTACATATTTCACGGGTACAGCTTTCCTGAGTAGAGTTCCAAAGGGCACATCGATCAATCGAAGCTAAGGCACGTTTGATGGCAAGGAACACAGCAACGGTGGGACGCTAATACATGTGATGGTGCTCCAACAACTGACGCAAAGTGAAGATGTGATCGATGTAGCCTCGACTTCGACGAAACCTGGATTATTACTCACGAATCTGGCCATCACGAGTGCTAGTCAGTCTGTGAAGGATGACAGAGGCAAGCAATTTGGAGGCGATGTAGATCATACTGATTCCTCTATGGTTGTTGCATTCCGAAGGTGAGCCTATATTAAAAAGATCGAGACAGTAACGGAGCAGCTCCACTGGGTTGGGACAATTTCCTGCTCCCATAGTGTCACTAGTAATTGGTGTAAATCATCATCAAGAAGAGCCAACCCCGAATTTGAAGAGGGCTGGATAAAAATCATCTGGTCCCGGAGCCCAATCCGACTTCGGCAGCCCGATGTCACGTTCGACTTCTGAGTGAGATGGCGATCACTGACCGGCGAGAAATCTGACAATCCCGGCCGATTAAATTGCTTTCCAGTGGTCAGCCCAAGGCTACAAGTGTTGTGACAAGTTGTGGATAGGCTGTCCACTCTCGTCACAAATAATTTCACTAACATCAGGGCTTCTGCTGCCCAGTTCCAGTAACAGACGGAGAAAATTCCGATGGTTACTAAGGCCAGCGACCACTTCCATCTCTGACGCACGATGAGGCCATCAAGACTCGCGGTCCTTCTTCAGGCTAGCACACGGTGTTGTGTTAAGGTTTGCGAGTTGCAATGTTTGCTTTCAGCCGAAATGAGCCGGAGAACATCGACAAGTTCCAGAGACCGCGTAGAGATGCGATATTCATATTGGCCATCAGATTTGCCACATGAGGATTTGCCTGCTGCTAGCAAAGTCCCGTGAACATGCGACCAGTGACCTTCAAGTGTATTCGGTGAGCGCTTATTTAAACCGATTGCCGGCGTATTTGGAGCGCATTCAAAACATCTAGCTTCGCCAGTTGGCTGGTGTCTATGCGTTCACAGCGTCATCATGCGTGGCCGCCGAAACGCAACCGCATATCAGCACATACAAGCGCATGGTCAGTGTCCACACATGTGCTCAGAATAGAGCGACAGTTTCGGACGCAGCCTCTCCAACAGTAACCGCTCGCAATGTGATCGATTAGAATCCAAGACTGGTGAGCGCCGTGTTACTCTCCGATGACTGCTATGTCGGAATATAGTGTTTGCAAGAAATAAGCGAGCATCTTCGCACCAATGAAGAAACCGCTCACTGTTATCATTAATGGAGCCCACATCATGTTTGCCGCTCAGATGTAGCTCATCCGTAGACAATTTTGAAACTTGGGTGTTCAGATCTCTAGCCAGCACTACAACGTCGGTCATCATCAATAGAAGTTAGCTGAGGGTGAGAAACACCCCACAGGTAACGTACCACAATACAAAAGGATAAGATACTAAAAATTTACCCCACAATGAGTTCAAAAAGCAGGTAATATAAGGTTAAATAATATAATATACATTTCGCATGAGATCGAAATTGGAGGGGAATCTAAAGGGAGGGGGTGGACAAAGAAACTCACAACAAATGCGATATTAGGGTCGGCTCTTTGTCATAGCAACAAGTTTGTCCAGCGAAAAGTGTTCATCGTCCCTCGGGCCCCAGTCGGGATGCACCAACCGACGCCAACGTCAAAGTGAAGGTTTTTATTTCTCTTAACCAAGTCATTGATTGGTCTCACCTCCTTCTCCTCCACCCAGACCACGGGCGCGCAAACATCGCACGTCGCGGGAGTCTGTGTGCTGGCATGCGCACACGTGGCCCAACCACCGGAGCCTGGTGCGTGACATAATGATGCTGAGCAGTTCATTCGCTCTTCCTGCATCAAATACGCGACGCCGAAGACATTCATAGCTCACGCGGTGCTCCACTAGACATGAGCTAAGCTGCAAGGGCAGCAATGGTCGAACGTGACTAGCTTCTTTATATCTGTCAACTTGATGGGCCAGGTTTCACAACTACATAAGAGGGTTGAACGGACAGCTGCATTATAAACTCTGCTTTCAAGGATGGAGTGATGTCGCCTCGGCGCCATAGGTGGCGGAGAGTAGCAAAAACACATTATGCTTTTGCTATACGGTCCGTAAACTATACAAGGTCGGTGCTTTATCTGTGATGAAGGAGCTCGTTCAGCTGGCGATAGAAGTCGGATTTTACGAAGTCAGTGCTACAGTTAGTGGGCGCGTAGGCAGGGATGACAAACAGGCACATATAGTGACATTATTGCACAGGTGAAAGCAGGGGAGCTCTGTCCAAGTTTCCCGGAGCTACACGAACTCCGCAACAAAGCTGTGCATAGGGAAATGGAGTTCATGGTGGAGTAAGAACGCAAGATTGTGAATTATCAGCTAAGCGCTTTAGGCCGGTTGCTACTGTCGATGTGTGCAACGAATTGGTAACGGAGATTAGTTACGGTGAGGACTAAAGACTGGAAACCAGGAGTTTAGTTACAAACTTTTCCAACATCTAACATACAGGGAAGACATTCTAAGTATGCATGGGACCTGAAATAAAATGATTGATTTTGTTAAGTGAGCTGGTTTTGCGAGATCTAGAATTTCTCCACAACCCAAAATCAGAGAAAATCACCGGCTTAAAAGTCTTTGATGCAGAAGGTAAGGAACGCAGCATAAAAATTGTTGAAGCATTAAATTGTAAGGATTGGTGTAAAACCTCAGTTTAGATCAGCCAGTTGTAAATAATATGCCCATCCTGACGCCGTCTACGAGAAAACAGTGGGTAAATGAACAAGAGCATCAACGAAACGACTATCAATGCAGCTTAGTGGGTCAACGATGGATACAAAATGATTCGTCAATGCCTTGCAGAAAAACATTAAGGAAACATAAACCGAGATAAAAATAAGATTGAAAGAGAGCCAGACTAACCGAGTTGAGCTGTTTGTTCAGGCGTTTCGAGAGCGCATTTATTTGCTCTATGAGTGGTCCGGCAGTATTAATCCTGGGTTCGTAAAGGGAAGAATGTGCCTGGCTTGGAAACGCAGTGTCGGACAGAATGTCCGACTTGTAGCAACCTTCGGTAGCGTGTGGACGCTCAAAGAAAGGAGTTTGACGAGATGGGGAAATCCGTGGGAGCGGTGAATGATCACCATAGGCAGTGCGCAAACTTTCGCTCGGAGTTTGGTGTAAGGGAGTAAGCGAATGGTTTAGGGGTCGCACAGGGGGACGCGGAAGATGATCGCTTGTTCGAAAAAAAGTAGCGTCATTGTCGCCGTCATCAGTATACGGGGGGCACAGTGTCCTGGTATTAAAAGGATCGGCGAGATGTCCTCCGGTGTCGCGTGGTAATTGCAAGGCCGGATGATCACTCGACCGGCTTTGGTTGGATGCCAACAATGGATCGATATATTTCTCGGGTGCAAAAACTCCGGGAGTATCATTTTGTTGGGCGGGAGAAGAGTCCCGGATTACCGTAACTGTTGTAATTTCCTCAGCGTCGTCCTCTGATGTACAGTTTGGGTGGAGAGTTGAGGTTTCATCAAAACCAGAAGAGTGGAGTGGATCTGACAGTATTTCGCTATACGCCGTTGCGTGACTAAATCGGACCTAAAACAGTAGTGTATTCACAGCGTGACCTTACTTGTCTGGGTGAAGAACAAGTAGAAATGTCTGAGATGATAGAAGAATGAGTCGAGGCATCGGAACCTAAATATCCCAGATGTAGACTAGTACACTCAACAGATGGATGAGCATCCTCGGCATCACTGATGTCACTTATGAGGCTAAGATCACGCAACGTCAAAGGTGATGGCAGAACCTCATCCATTCCAAATTCAAGTGTGACCGGAATGATAAGTTAGGTTCTCGTGAATACTCCTTCTTCGGCAGATCGTGAAGCAAGAATGGATAGGGTGATTTGGGATATTGATCAACCTAAAATACAAAACAGCATCAAGAGTTGTTTAACTGATTACGGACCAATTATCACGCACCAACAGGCCCAGCAAGGCTGGTCAAGTGAAGAGAAAATTGTGAAGCCGCAATGTTATAAGAACATCCCCAATAAAAAGCATCACTTATAAATATAGAAATAGCATTTTCACTCTAAATTAGACGTCTTACAAACCACTTTGTACGTTTGATAAATCACATTTGGATGTTTAGCAAAATAAAATGGACATTCTGCGCACCAAATTGAAACCATTGCATTCTAAGCAGAAAATCAGCAATTTGTAGGCAAGAAACGAGGTGTAAGGCAAATGGAGGATGTTCAGACCAGATTATAGTCAAGTTAATGCAACGGAATAGTGTAGCCAAGGGTGTCATTGCAAACGCCTTGCTCGCGAACTTCGAGCGAAGGCGGTGAATAAATTTCCATTTCTCAACCAATCGGCATTCGCGCATTTCATGTGTTCATACCTTTACGCACAAAGATGTGTAGCTGTGTGACTATTGGAAAGTCGGACTTCAGAACCGCATAGTCTATTATGACCTAAATAAATGTCACTTAGCTTCGGAGGGCCATTGTGAAGTACAGGTTTTGTGAATGGATTGCGATGCCCCATCTCAATGTGGACTGCGATTCCCACTGGAGTAAACCTCAGCCAATTCGATCACCGAGACGGTAAATGATGAAGAGGATAGGCGGCGACCCAGTAGCCCACTATCACTCTATGGGCCTAAACATACTTTTGGTGGGTGAGTGGGCTAACCGATGCAGCTCCACGAATACTGAAACAAGGACGAGCCATGGACGATTAGTTTAGAGGCTCTATCGTAGGTTGACGTCCGAAACACGATAGCAGCCCTCAATCGTTTTCGTGTTACTGGCCCGGATTCCCTGCCACATGCACTATTTAAGGATGGTGGCCCTCTGCAAAGCACTGACCTCCCTATTCGAACATATCTGGAAGGAAGAGAATGTCCCGGATAATTGGAGTGAATCAATCATAGTGGCAATATACATGGAGGACAGTCGCGCAGACTGTGCTTAACGCTAGTTGTGCCAAAGTTACTGGCTTCGATTCTCGTTCGTCGCTTTACTGCGGAGCAAGAATAATGGATTAGAGAAGAGCAGGCTGGCTTTTGCCCAGGACAGGGCTGTATAGACCATATATTCACTCTGCGGCTGGTGCTAGAGCAGCTCCACGCATACAGCAGACCGACAAAAGCTGTATTCTTCGACTTCAAGAGTACGTTCGACTCAGTCGATCAATCCAGTTTGTTCGAACTACATGTGGGGAAAGGTGTTCCCATGAAATATGTGAATATCTTACGTGCTCTATACTAGAACAATACAAGCCGCGTCATGGTCTATGGTGACCTGTTGTGTTTGACGGGACCGCATACAAATAGGTCGACGGGGTCGCTATAGGCAACCCTCAGGGACCAGTTTTAGCCGACATCTTCCTCGGCCTGATAGAAACGCAAGTTGCTGCCAGCATTGGTGAAGCGAAATTGTACAGACGATATGTGGATGACAATTTAGTCTTCACCAGTGGAGAACATTTTACCCGGCTGCTGACCATCGTGAATTCGATTCACCCTAATTTGTCGGTATCCCATGAAGTGGAACAACACAATTGCCTGGCGTTTTTGGATATATTCATTAGGAGACGGGCTGAAGGTACGTTTCAGCGCATTGTTCACCGCAAATCGATTTGGACTGGACAGTACCTTCATTTTCCAAGCTTCGCCACGATCGCATACAAAAACGGCTTAGTGAAAACTCTCTTCTACCGGACTAGACGTATTTGCAGCCCCGAAATGTTACAAGCCGAAGAAGAAATTCTACGAAAGATCTTAATTTCTAATGGATATCCTGAGAAGTTTATTCAAGTACACAGTAGACCTCCCAGCGTGAAAACACTGGTGTTGACGGCTGAGAAAAAGGATGTTAATTTGTTCTTGCCGTTCAAGGGGACCATGTGACAAACGCGAACCTACACGACAGCCCAGTTGCGACTCAGGCATACCACGCGAGGACTTGTTCTTCACAACCGTCAGAGCATCCCATCGGGTAGTTCGGCCTCACGTTGTTTATCAGTTCACCTGCGGTTGCGGTGACATTTACATAGGCAGAACAAACCATCAGTTAGCCCAGAGGGTAGCTGAACATTTGGCAAAGTGGTTGGGACAAGTGATTACGCAAGAAAATGGGACGAATATGAGAACTAATCGGAGCCCGGTATCGTCTATCACCAAGCACCTCATGACAACCCGTCATCACGTGAACCGCGAGACAGCGTTCAGTGTTATTACGTAACAAAAACCCGATAATGCTGGCAATTAGTGAGGCGTTGTTAATTAAGACCTAGCAACCTGTGCTATGTGCACAGAAACTCTTGAGGCAATCAATTTGGTTGCCATGGTCTTGACTGTGGCATTTGGATTCGTGGTGCTTATTTTTTCCATGTATATAACCATTTGTGTTTCTACTAGTATTGTGTTTGCGACTGAAGAAAGCAATCGAAATGTAGACATATCGCAACCCGTGTCTTTTCCCTGCCTTAACGAAATGGCTGAAGGCGACCCACTGTTTTACCTTTTGGAGTAAACAATGGCGTTTCTTGCTTCCAAAGGACCATTGATGAAGTTGTCTCTAAAGAAAATCTAACTGATACGTTTGCCTATATAGATAACGTCACCATTTGTGGTAGAGATGCTGTTGAATATCGGCAGAATTTGGATCGTTTTCTGAACGTTGCTTCCAACTACGGAATAACATTTAATGATACAAAAAGCGTATTCGAGGCCCAACGGGTTAAGCTTCTGGGGTATGAAATCTCCAAAGGAATAATTAAGTCCGACCCTGAACGACTGAGGCATTTGCAAGAACTGTCTCCGCCAACTGACATCAAGCCCAAACGGAGAGTGGTAGGGATGTTTGCTTACTACTCCCAATGGATATTACAATCCTCTGACAAGATCAACCCATTCGCTCACAACACGGAATTCCCCAGACCACCATATGTCCAGAAATCCTTCGAAAATCTAAAGGAGGAACTGAAAAACGCCGTACTTATCACTGCCGACCCTAATGTGCCGTTAGTGGTCGAAACAGATGCTTCTGATGTAGCTATATCGGCTATTTTAAACCAGAACGGAAGACCAATAGCCTACTTTTCCCGCATCTTATCTCACACTGAGGCGACATTTAACAGTGGAAAAGGAAGCTTATGCTATCGTGGAGGCTGTGCGAAAATGGTAACCACTAGTAACCGTTTCAAACTGGTCACAGATCAGCGTTTTGTCGCCTTCATGTACAACAGTATGAACCAGAAGAAAATTAAAAATGACAAAATATAACGCTGGCGGCTCGAACTTGCACCCTTTCATTACGATGTTATATACCGACCAGGTAAGTGCAATCAGGGAGCCGAAACATTCTCACGTAGCTGTTGCAGTAGCTCGTCTGGCAACCTGAAACTAAAACAACTCTGTGTCACCCGGGCATTACTCGCATGCTCCATTTCGTCCGTGCCAAAAATCTTCCTTATTCTGTGAGCGAAATCAAGTCAATGAGTTCAAATTGTACTGTTTGTTGTGAGCCGAAACCAAGATTTGTGCAGCCCCCATTGGGCCCACTTGTGAAAGCAACTCAACCTTTGGAGCGCCTCAGTGTTGATTTTAAAGGCATGATTCCCACTAACTCTCGAAAGCGCTAGCTATTAACAATCGTGGATGAGTATTCCCGTATTCCATTGGATTTGCATGCTCTGAGTTATCCACTTCCACCGTGATTAAATGCTTCTGTCAACTTGTTCCGATGTTTGGGTTGCCAGCCTACATTCACTTAGGTCGAGGTTCCTCTTTCATGTCCCTTGAACTGCATGATTTTCTTCACAACAAGGGAATAGCAACGAGCGGAACAACCGCCTATCAACCACAAGCTAATGGGCAGGTTGAAGGCCTGAACGGAACGTTTTGGAGAGCCATTTCTCTCGGCATACGCTCTCGCGACTTCCCAGTTGATCAATGGGAGACTGTCCTACAGGACGCCTTACATTCAATTCGATCACTTCTGTGTACTGCAACAAACGTAACTCCGCACGAGAGATTTTTCAGGCATAATCGAAGGTCTTCGTCTGACTTCTCCATCCCTACCTGGCTGTCATCACCGGATCCTGTCTTGTTAAGAAAAAAAGTCCGATCCTCCAAGTTCGACCCACTTGTGGAACAAGTGGAACTTATAGAGTGTAACCCTAAGTATGCAGATGTCCGACTATCAAACCGGAAAGAGGAGACCGTTTCAATCCAACAATTGGCCCCCATGGGTGAACACCCGCTCGAACAAGACGACACGAGTAACGTCGGTTCAGAAAGAGCGATAGCACCCCGATATGATAAACAGACTCGCTTACACGACAAAGGGAACACGATTCCAGGCCATTCTCAACCAAACTTTACCGAAACGCCGTCTACAAGGAGCGAACTTGAGACCCGTCAACAGCGCGTGCGTCCATATTGCCTGAGAAACCGAGAAGTCTAAACACTAGCTCCTTTTACTTCCGTGAAACTTTAATACACACGAGGCAATCATGTCCAGCAACTGTTATCATACACTGTTTCTGCCATCAACACAATCCACTTTTGCTACGTACACTCTTCAAAACTTCGGTGGGGTAGAATGTGGTATTATTCCTCTCCATATTTATCATTGCCAATACACTTTCCCTGTTCTTTATACTTTCAGCTCTCGTCGACATTCACAGACGAATAAAGCCTGAATTTCTAGTCTTGATTCTTTACTCGTTGGTCTCTCTCTGGTTATCTATCATACTACAATCAGCCACTTGAACTGATGCTTCGCTGCCATACAACCATGATGACCTATGGGATAAAAAATAATAAGAGGGAAAGAAGCGGGACTTACTTGAAAACCTTAATACCCTAAGCAAACATTCAACGTCAATGCGTCTACACCTTGTGTTA